GAACTAAGACGAGTGTAAATAACTGAAAATACAGTAACCTATTTTTAGATTGTTACGAACTTCTTAATATGAAGTGATCCACAAAAAAGTGTTTATAAAGTAGGCCATAAAAAAATCTTTAATTCTTCTTTTCCACCTGTCTTTGTCAATCTTGGTCTACTTTAGGCCCGTATTTATAAACAGAACTTACGTGAGTCGGACTTGGGTAAGTCGTCCTTGAACTAAAATCGAAATTCGGTTACAACGTCTCTAAAATTCTAGGTGGTTCTGGTGTTAAACTTGAATTTAGAGATGGATATTCGCAAATCTATAACTGTTATGTACATTTACGGATTTGTTACTACCCATCTCTAAATTCACGCGATATAACCGAACTTCGATTTTCGTTTAAGGACGACTTACCCAAGTCCGACTCAGCTGAGTTTTGTTTATAAATACGGGCCTTAGAGAAAGTATTTTTTTGTGGATCACTCGTTATATCGTTAATTTTAAGTCAAGAAACAAAAATATCTCCGTTCAAAGACACTTTTAAACTTCCGAGTAAAGAAATAAAAAAATCTTACCGTTGAAAGACATTTTGCTAAATTATCAAGGTCGTCACAGGTTGCGATTTAATAGTTTTAATCACGTATATGAAATTGTAAATGTACGTTGCAGTTTTATATACCTACATGTTTCGCGATGAAACACAAATGATAAATTAATAATAACGGTAGTAATGGGGCAAGATCCAAAATAGAAAACGAGAAGATGCACGTACCGGATTGGCAGCAGTTTGATTTTTAACAAATAATTAATTTTTAATGTGATCGTGTTGGCTTAGTTGACGCTTCTGTAATTGTTTTCGCATCTGTAACCATCTAATTCAAATTATACAGGGTGTTCCATTTATAATTAGACAAAGAGCAATGAGAAAATCTTGGGGCGAAACTCTGATCTGAAAAACGTTACTAGGTATTTCTGAACAAGCAGTTTGATGCAGTAAATAGTATACAATGACTGAGTAACGTTAACCCATCTTGCAAAAATCCATACCTAATACCTGAATTTGGTCAAAAATTGGAAAAAAATTTGTCAAAACTTAAGTCAAAATTTAGTCAAAATTTAGTCAAAATTTAGTCAAAATTTAGTCAAAATTTAGTCAAAATTTAGTCAAAATTTAGTCAAAATTTAGTCAAAATTTAGTCAAAATTTAGTCAAAATTTAGTCAAAATTTAGTCAAAATTTAGTCAAAATTTAGTCAAAATTTAGTCAAAATTTAGTCAAAATTTAGTCAAAATTTAGTCAAAATTTAGTCAAAATTTAGTCAAAATTTAGTCAAAATTTAGTCAAAATTTAGTCAAAATTTAGTCAAAATTTAGTTAAATTTTTTTATAATTGCGCTATTTTAAATGTTTTTCTCTTATCAAGTAATAAATTGTAAATACTGATGCATACATATTAAACCAATTCACTTTGTTGCAAGATGAGTCTACTTGTATACTATCCGCCTATCATTATGTTGTTATTATAATGTTTTTGTTTTATTTAACTATACATGATGTTTGTTAAATATTGTTGTACTTTTGTATTGTTTTAACAATAAAAAAGAGCCTAAAGAATCTGCAAAGCGGCCAAAACAGCAAAGTCATTTGAAAAAATACCATTATAGTAACAAATGTGTTAGTGTTTTGAGTTAATAAATCTGGGAATAAATAATGTAATTTCAAAAATACGGAAAGGTTTGAAGTTAAATTAAATCGTTTTTTGCATTTTCCGTCAAACATTATTGTTAAACTTTCAAGGTCCATAATTTTCTAAACGAGTATGCTTTTTGCGTCAAAAGGTGTCCCCTTGACAAACAAACTTGACGTGTTTATGGATTTTGCCGAAAAGTTCTTTTCCACCCGCCTGCAGTACGTTTTCGATGGAACACCCTGTATAGGTTGCTCAAAGCGGGTCGTTTGCTAACGGCCATATTGCCTGGCTTGCTCATTAATTTGAATCAGTATAGCAAAAATGTGTTATAAAATCAATTTCCAGCCTATGAATACATTAAAAAAAATAATTACCTACATTTTTACTTCAGGGCATAAGTTTACGTTTATTTTTAAAAACATCTATAACTATCTATTTCATTGATCCTGTCAAATCACGAGGCCCACAGTGTTGCCATATCATAACCTGTCATGGGTCTGTCAGTAGACAGTCACTACCTATGGGCAACCATTTTGTTTGGAATGCCTGTTTGCGTAAAGTAAGTCATTTTGACACTTACTACTATTACGAAAAATATCACTTTATATGTAAAATTTAGAAAAATAGGATTTACGTTAATGGCTGAAATTTGTTATTGCTCAGAATACAAAGGACATTGGCATACTCGTATAAATTATGATAAAAGTGTATAATAATTAATGGTGTATCATACTTCTATTTTTTTGTTATATCTACCTACTTCACGATTTGAAAATTTTTGTTTCTACGGAATTTTTTTTTTTTAAATTATGAATTAAATGAACTGTCAAACTGAGAGGTATGTCATCACACCGTAATGTCAACCAACGTAAAAAATCGTGTGTCTACCAATGAACTGGAGTGGGGAAGAATGTTTGTCAATAGGCTTGAGATGCGACTCTATGGTGGGCGCAGCTATATTATTTTTCATCTCACTTGGCAGTATCTACAATAACCATTTTCTATTTCACATTGTTATTGTGGAATGGACAATAACAATGTGAAAGAGAAAATGGTTATTATAAATACTCCCGAGTGAGATGAACAATAAAAATCTGATGTGTCCAACACATGACTTTCCTATCTAGTTATTATAGGCTTTTTCCGGTTATTTTGTACAACCTATTGCAGCACCTCTATAAATGTTTAGAGGCTAAACTAAATATATACATTTCCCTCATACATCTACCTCGAAACATTTTTCTATAGATATTCATTAAAAACGAAAATACTGAAAAATTTAAATTTAGCACTTTTCCTACAATTTTTGCATTACGGTCCATTTTAGAAAAATCATGTATAAACAAAAATTACAGAGATCGATATCGCAAACAACTTTTAGTTCATAAAAATCTCATAAAAATCAGAATTTTGCACATTTTGTCAAATTTCTCGAATACGGACCATTTCAGGAAATTTTGACATAAAACAAAAATTATAGATAATAATATTAGAAGTAACTTTTATTTGAACAATTTTCTTCTCCAAACATAAATAACAGATATATTCCATAAAATATAAAAACGGCCTCGCATAAAGTACCCCCCCCCCAGATGTTCCGACTTTGTCCAAAATCTAATCATTGCACGTCAGACCGAAATAAAACTTAAATTTATAATTTAATGTTCTTTTCTTTATCCGTTTTTGAGTTTTCTTCAAAATTCGAAATTCACACATTTTCTCAAATATCTCGAATACGGTCTATTTTAGAGAAATTATGTATGAGATAAAAATTATAGAGAATTATAGTACAAACAACTTTTATTTGAACAATTTTTATAAAAAAAAAACACACACACACACACACACACACACACACACACACACACACACACACACACACACACACACACACACACAAACACACACACAAACACACACACAAACACACACACAAACACACACACACACAAACACACACACAAACACACACACACACACACACACACACACACACACACACACACACACACACACACACACACACACACACATTGATATCACATTACAGTTGATTGGTGTCTATGTTACGGGTAGTGTTGTAAATTGGGTATTGACATTAACGTCAGCAGCCATATTTGCTGGCCAATATCGTTATTATCTGGACAGAAACGAAAATGCCCATTAATCGTGGACAATGTTGATAATATTTTTTTTGCATCTTTGTACGGCCATTAACGACATCGACCATCAATGAGTGGACAATGTTGAAAATATATTATTTTTTGCATTTTTGTCCGGTCATTAATGACATTGACTATCAATAAGTGGGTGAAGTTGACTTTAAAGAATTAAGTTGGTACTGTGACTTAAAATTTTTATTTTAAAGGCTTTACCAGTAAGCTACTGTAAAATTAACATAAAAACATGATAATTATATAACTATTAATCAGTTTTATTGGAGCATGATAATGATCCATGACATCTGGAATTACAAATTTTTTCTTGGTGCGACAAGCGCATTTATTGTTTTTGCACCCACCCTTACAGTGACAACGCTTATACCCTGTTTTCCAAAAACAGTGTTTTGTGTTGCAACTTGTCTAAGTATTTTTTTTCCTTTAACGGCGTCACTAAGGTTTTCCAATAATATAAGCTTCTCCAAACGTGGATTGAATTCAGATCTTGTAAATTTTTGCTGTATTTTATTCAAATCCAAATCGTCGCGGTTTGCGGTCCACACATAAGTGGGCCCTAACGATAACGTCCTGGCAAAGTCGTAAAAAGGCTATGGGGTCTATTCTGTAACAATTCCGTTATATTTTAACGGCCTTTAAAAATATTTTCTTCTTTACTTCTGTCATTATTTAAACGGATCTTTAAAATACATTAGAGGACTATCTTAAAGAAATCTGTTTAAATAATGACAGAAGTAAATTAACGAATACGAAAATGTTTTTAAAGGCCGCCAATTTTTTTAAAGGCTGTTAAATATAAAGGAATTGTTACAGAATAGACCCCTATGTCGTTTATAGTTTATCAGCATTGTCCAATTTAAGCAGATGTTTACGTTATTCGCCGGTTATTATCAATAATGCCCAATCAAATAGGAGATTTACGAAAATGACCGGCCAATATCGTTAAAGACCGAAATATCATCTTTGACCGTAACATCTACATTATGAAATGTTTCAAAACGGAAGAAAGAAGTAACTTGATTGATATTGTTACTTATTGGATATTCGCCCGCTCTTTAGGTCCGTAGAAAAAGATTATAGTGCAGCCAGGTGTAATAAAAAAATATATATTTCTATTTTACATATTTATTGATTACTAATAATTACCTTGTGTTTGAGTTGTCACTGGACTTTCTGTTGTGGATTTTTCAACACTTACTGTTTCTGAAACCAATAATATTATAATTAATATTTTAAAACAGATTTTTAGAAATTATTAGCGAAAATATGTTAGTAAAATAATTATATAGCCTAATAAAAATAGGTAATAAAACAAAAAGTACTAAAAATATACAAGTTAGTAAAGAGCAACAAAGTTAGCAACAAATAAAAAATGGGAGGTGTGTTGATGCATAAAATAAATGGATTCTTTAATCTTGTTTATTGATGAATTTATTTGTTTTCATGATTAAAAAAAAAAAACGATTTGCATGTACTTTTATGGTGCGAAAGTAAAAAAAAACTAAAAATAGACAAACATCTGTGCCATACACAATAGAATAGCTAAAAATAGCAAGTCCGAAATAAAGTTGGCAAAATTTTGAACTTGAAATGTGCAAATCATTTCGCTAATTTTAGGTATCGGAAAAATTTGTTGACCTTAAGAAACCCCAATTAAAGGTATTTCTACTCTTTTAACTTACGTGGTAAATTTAGCATGAATATTTATATTATTTTAGAAAGTAGTGGGGAGAAAGAAGCTATAAATAAGGCACGTCATAATAAGTGCTTTATTTCAAATAAAAAGCTGTATATATAAAATGAACCTTTGATAGTGTCTATTGTTGTACAAAATTATGAAAAAATGGAACAAACAAATGTTTTAACGTGTAACAGATTCTTAACATTAGTATTTAAATTTGCGTGTTGATTATTTACAGTCGCTGTTTTGAGCTATTCAGGAGCAGCAGGTTGAGGGTAGATTTTGTTAGGGGGTGCGCACACCAACACATTCTCACCCTCTTTATTATCGATGTCAAATCTCTTCTTGGATTCCCATCGTTTTCATGGTGTGCGCACCTTACACACACCACGATATCTGTCTCTAAATCTGCATAAGAAAATCCAACTGACATAAGTTTCATTCGGCAAAACGACTAAGTTATAATCCTAAATCATACAAAAACACCTTTACATACAATTGGAATGAACAGGTAAGAAATATTTTGGTTACTTTCTCTTCTTTAAATACAACTAGATTTGAATAAGTCTTCAAAAGCTTGATCTACGTTGCTTTCATCTAATAACGGAGGACAAACTATATCTGGTAAGGTTCTACTTCTTGATATTCCCGAAGACTTGTAAGCTGAATGTTTTTCAGAAGTTTTTATCCTATTTATGCTAGTTTTAACAACTTTTTCCGATTTAGTGGGGCTAACTGTTTGGGGGGACTTATTTCCTCCTAATAAGTACGATTCCATGGCTTTTCTCTTCTGCAATAACTCATCTTTAGACATACCAGCCTCAAATTGTCTTTGAGGAACCGCCAAGCTGTGACTAGATTTAGACTTTACTACGTTTCTTCCAGGTGTAGGTTTATTAGCCGTTTGGTTACTGGCCAGACATATTTGATGCCATGAGTCAGATTTGCTCAAAGCTCTTCCACCTATATTAGAAGGTAACGGTGAACCTGGCTCTACACTAACTACAGGAATGTGGAATTTACTAGTTACAACACCTTGTCCTTTTTCATTAAACTCCACAGTTTGTTGAGATTGAGCAGCAGCTGTTTGAATCCTAGCAACGTTGTTATAAACTGGAGCCATTGTTTTCTGCATAGGTTTGACCACACCTAGTTTAGGATCGTTACTATTCGGTTTAACATCTTTGGAACCGAAACTTCGACTAGATAGTCTTTGTGGGCTTTTTTGAGGGCTTCTTTGGGATATATTATAATCATTATTTTGCGGTTCAGGAGCTTTATAGTAGCCGCCTTGCGCGGAAACCGTATTCTGAGGTGAGAATTTTCGTATCGGGTCTGGTACTGAGATTTTCTGTGTAACTTCCGGTGTTGAACTAGGTTTAATAGGACTAACCGAGTTGATTTTGGGTTGTATTCTATCATCGGCGGTTTTTCCTAGAGTGCTAAGAGTGTTCTTTAAATTAAAAACAGCAGCCATGTCGTGTTCATTACGAGTCATAGGTCCTTGCTTAACTGTAACAGCTTGTTGAGCACTTCCCATAACTTTGCTGCTTATAGCTGTATATTCATGAATGCTTTCGTTAGAAAGTTGAGTTTCCAATTTTGGAGGATGTGATACAGCTTCTAATTGTTGGTTTTTAGGTTTTCCTGTTGGGCTAAAAGTAAGTGTTGAGGTGTAGATATTTTCCGGTGATGTAGGATTACTCTCTTTTCCTGGTACATGTTGATAAATTTCTTGTGTATTATAAAGAGCTGTAGTAGAGTTGTAATTATTATTTGGAGATTGAAATTGGTTAATTTTTTTCTCGTTATCAAAACTTTTTTGTTGATTGGACGTAGATCTTTGACCACTAACTTTATCTCTATAAGCTTGGTGCCACCAAGGTGTGGGTTTTGGTTCTCTAGGGCTAGTAGGGGTAAATTTAGGTCTGTTGGAATCATTTGTAGAAACTTTTTCCGAATAGACTTCAGGCATTTTCAAAGGAGTCGAAGGTTGGTACACAACGCTAGTGTGGCTAGTATATTCGGGAGTTTTACTTCCTATAGTATCGTACTGATCACTTAATTTTCTTACAGTACTGTTTTTAGCGTCAGAAGTTTTCGTAATGTAAGATGGTACAAGTTTTTCAGTAGGTTGTTGCTTTGGTACAAATGCAGAAGTTAATTCCTTACTAAGTTTTCTAGGTTTAATAACTTGAGTTTCAATTTGTTGTTGAGGAACTTCAAATTTCTTTGCAGCCATATTGAGTACCCTACTTCCTCCCTCAGGACTCGGAGTCAGCCATGGTTTTGTACTAATTGGAGACAATGCCGGTGAAGTGCCTTGAGAGTTAGTTAAGGGTTTAGGACTATATAAAAATAATGATTTGTTATTGTCTTTAATTTCAGTTTTTAGTAACTCTTGAGGGGACTCTGGCAATAATACATTTTCCTTATTTGGTTCTTGGATGATTGGTTTGAAAGTATGACTTTTTTTTGGGATAGGTTTAAATGCCGATTGTGGTGCATGAGAAAATTGGTTTACAGGTAAAGGACCCGGCAAGAATCTATAATTTTTTTCAGGTTCCGTTTTGATCGTCAGTTTCCCTGTTAACGCGTTATGCTCCTCTGTAATATTTTTAAGCGGTTTTAGTCTTTCAGGTAAAATATCTTTCTCCCTTTGTTTATCTTCAAACATTTGTTGCAAATTTCTAGCACTCTGTCTACTTATTTTAGGACCGTATTGGTTGCTACGCGCCGTAAGAGCGTCATCTTGAGTTTTCCAGAAGTTTTTGACATTATTTGATTGTGGTCTACCAGAACTTTCAAAATTATTTTTAATGTTCCCGAATTTGCTGCCCCAAACGGAAGCTCTGTTTTTATGGTCTGTCCAAATGGAGTTTTTATTTTTGTCATCCGAATTGTCGGTATTTTTATTTAAGAAAGCAAGGAATTTTTGATCTGAAGCGGTTTTCGGTTGAAAAGTAGGTACAGTTTTTTTAATTACTGGATCTCCTACTCTTATTGGACCTCGCAAGGCGTAGTAGTTATTTTTATGTTTTTGTTCCTCAGTTTCGCCGTCTGAACAGTCGGAATCTTCGTAAAACTGCAAAGGTTTAGGTATGTCTATTGTATTTGCTCTTTTCATGCGTTGTTTCTTTATTTGCGTATTAAATCTATCCATATGTTTGCTATCAAATTGGTTGTAACTGTTTTCTGGTTTGGAATAAATTGGATTGACAGATAACTTGGGTTCTTCGACTATATCAGTTACTTTAATAGTATCTTCTTCAGGTTCTGAACCATTTAGTTCCGTGTTTATTATCCCAGTAGGCTGGTGACTCTTATTTACGAGTTCGTCTAAATGTTTATCTTGTGACGACATTTTTTGAATTTCGTCTTCGAAAAATGCGTCTAAATGCTCGGATATGTCCGGAGTTGGAACTGTCGATGAGTTATTTGAACTACTAAAAGGTTTAGGCGTCGTATTTTTTACCGATGATTTATTTATATATTTATTTATAGAAGGATTACTAGTTACGCTGCTATCTGAGTTTTGTTTACTCAAGTGGTTGAGTTCGTCCGATTCTTTTTTACTTAAAATTGCAGTGTTGGATGAATCATTACTTTCTGAATTTCGTTTTTGTATATTTATTGAATCTGTTTTCGAGGTGGAAGGTGTAATTTTATGACCAGAAATTTCTTCAATTAACCTTCTTGCATCTGCCAATTCTTCGCTGCTTACTCCAACTGTATGACGGCTTTGTCTATTTTTCCTTTTGCTAAATCGTCCCGTTTCGCTAGAGAGTCTTCGTTCTATTTTAGGCACAGCCGTGGATAATCCCACTTGTAATTTCGTTACTAAACACAATAACGACGAACGTCTTTCTTCTGAAATATCTGTGGAATCATTAAATAAGCTTTGTGAAAGTTTATCTAATGCTCTTTGAACCTCTGCGATAAGACCGTTTCTTTGGTCTTCGCCGGATTCTGTACCGGAGTCTGCGGTTTGATCTTTTTCTGGTGCTTGTAGTAAGCCTTGTAGAAGAGGAAGAAGAAGTGACTCACCCTCTATTTTTCCAGTGTTTTGTTCCTGGCTTGCCTTTTCTACCAGTTCTGCGCAGGCTGAAAATAAAAATACTTTGTTAAAAGTGTATGTTATTTATTAATTTCATTTTGGTTTAAGCTTTTCTAACACTGTTTTTTAGTTGTTTTTTTATACAAATTTCTATAAGAAACAAAATAAACATTTAATGAATGTATTAAGGAGTTTTTTTTACAATTGACAGATAATAAATTATACTCACTAATGTAGATACTGATTTCGAAAAACCAAGTGAAATTTTTATTATTTGTGGTACAATTATGTACATGTTTTTAGCATGGATTAACTTCAATTAATTTTTTACCTAAGTATCTACAGAGATTATAAATAATTACTGTTGTTTAACTGCTTTATTTTCGTACTTACATACTTTTATAGTCCAGTTAATAGAGAATATTGATGAAATAATTTGAATAATTCAAAATGATAATGTGCAATTACTGTATTACGAGTTTTGGTACTATTTAATTTTGGGACGCTAAATATCGCAGTAAAACAGTTGATTGTCCATAATGAAATATGCCATCACGACAAAAAAGTAAAAATAGGTTTCTAAATAATTAAAAACCATTTTGCTACTTTGAAATGAACGATTACTTGTATTATGAATATTCTGAGGTACATTATAATAATTTTTAAATATGTTGTTGAAAACAGAAGACAAATGAACTGGGTAATCAACAGAACGCTACAGCTTTTTTGAAAAACGAACTATAGTCTATGGAAGAAAGGAGTGCAGTAATTTAATTTTCACAACGTAGTACAGGTTCAAAAGGAGTCATATCAGTTATACATCATCCTTCAATGCTTATTTGTAGATAAATTTTAATAAATCTGATCGGCCTAATACAAGTTTTGGTTTAGATTTAATGTTTCCATGGTTTTTACTATAGTAAACCTTTTCTTGTGTCAAACTTTATTTATTCATGGCCGTATCGTTTATATTTGAATTGAATTGGAATTTTGTATTAGCACATACTATAATTTTATAGTTATATAAGAATGGCAAGTGTATTAGAAAATATTGCAAGCAGAAGTACGCGTAAACGATATAATAGCCATAAAGCATTTAATAATCTACAAAAAGAGATTGTTTCACTTTCTGTGGATGAAAAAGCCACTAAATATGATACCTATACTGGAGTATCTAAGCGGACAGTGTATAACATTATTAAAGAAGATACAATTATTGGAGAAGTCTCACATCCGAAAAAGCCCCCAGGAAGAAACAAGACCCTTATTGCAACCTGGGTAATGGGGTAATGAGGCAAATATAACATTCTTTTTTCGAAATGAAATTTCTACACTTAAAAAATTATACTCAGAAATAGAAAACAGCTGCACTCTTCCAAATATATCATACTTTTATCTGCAAAAAATATTACATAAATTAAATTTTCGTTACAAAAAACGTGACAGAGCTTTTTAACAGAGAAAGACGAAATCATTGCGTGGAGACATGATTATTTAAGGAAAATAGAGGACGCAAGGAATCAGCATAAACAGGTATTTTATTTGAAACATGAGTTAATGCTGGACATAAAGTAACAAAAATTTGGCAAGATACCTCCATCAAAACTAAAAAACAAGCCTTTATGGAAGGGGTCTCTTGTGGATTAAAAATCCAACAAGAAAAGGAAATCATGTTCGAGTCAAAGAAAACAAAGACTACCATGAAGAAATGGATGGTCCTATGTTTGAAAACTCCGTTATTGTTTTGGATAATGCATCCTACCACAGTCGATTAAAGGAGTTACTACCTATAATAAGATGGAAAAAAGAAGATATTTCAAAATGGCTTCCATTATAAAAATATTAACAGTCTTCCTATATCCCTGAAGGCAGAATTACTCGTAATAGCAAGGCAATATAAAAACAAATTCAAAAAATATAATATAGACGAGGCCCTAGAAAAAGGAATTTAAATTCTCAGATTGCCTCCTTACCACGCAAAGTTAAATCCCATTGAACTGATCTGGTCACAATTAGAAGACTATGTTTCTCGAAACAATTCATTTAACCTTAAAATTACCTGTGAGAAATTTATTTTTAAAGGCAGTTTCAGATGTAAATGGAGAACATTGGAGCAAATGAATTGATCATATTAAAAAGGTGGAAAAATCATTTTGAGAGGTGGATATAGCAATGGAACACTTAATAGACTCTATAATAATAAACCTCAGAAAAGACAATGATAATGGTACCAGTAGTTATAGTGAAGACGGTGCCTCTTAAAAATTATCTTTAATTTTAGGCACTGAAATGTTACTTTTAATGCTAAGAGATTAAAAACAATTTAATCCCTTTAACAACATATAATTGTTATTTATTGGTTAAATATAATTCGTTCAATGTTAAAGTTCAAAATTTTTGTCAGAAGCATAAGGTTTATTTTTATTTTTTGTAAATAATATAACTTTATTTATTCAAAATTTAATTAACGAAGTGCGTGTATACCGTTTTATATGCCGTGGCCTTAATTATATTATAGAAACTTATTTGGCAAAGTACGCCTATGGAATATGACGTTACATCCCCACTTTTACTGCACTCATCTTTTATTCATACTATAACTGTACACTAGACGATACTTACACCTAAGTATATGGACATATGGCATCAAATTCTAGGGTAGTACCAAGATCATAAACACAAAAATGTACAAACATATCTGTCGCAAGTCAGAGATGGAAGACGTTGTTTGGTTTCCATGATAAGGTAAAAATACAAAAACTAAGAAATACAAAGCTCACGAATGAACTCTCGACTAGAATACCTAACCAACCATTAACTACAATATGACCGTAAATATACAGTACCGAAATTGTAACTTTAATCATAGTTGCTATGGAAGTGACACTGCTGTTAAACTTGTTTTAAATAAACACTAAATTGTTATCTGTCAGGGTATACAACACTGTCTGTGGACAAGATGCTTACAACCGAAGAAAAATGTTTTATATGTGAAGGTTACAATCGCTCATACGAGTTTGGCAGAAATAATGGACCAACATTTCAAAGCATTATACGGAACCTCCAAGACCATCTTGAGCTATGCGGCCAACAGAATAAAGGGCATATAGAGCATATCATTGGCTATTATAATAGACCCTAAGTTAGTCCATACTGTATTAGAGAGAAGAAGGGCGAAGAAAGAATATGTGAATCGTTTGGATATATATCCACACAACCAGATTTCAATCTCGATGGGGTATCAGGTCGTCGATGGCAGATGGACTTTTCCAAAGTATAACTGTATTAGTTGGTATTTTGGGTTACGCACACCATAACTATAAACGCTGCTTTCTTACGTTTTAATATTGTTAGTGATTATCAATACCCCTTCATTCGTTGCCCTTGAAATCCCACGGTATTTTTAGCAACCTGCAATTAATCTATATTTTAAAAACAGCCAGCTGGTATATTTTGTGAAAAACAGTACAAATTTTCTTTCGTGTGTAGAACATCTTTAGTATTTTATCTCAAATAGAAAATTTTCCAAACCAAAAGGAAAATTTGATTACAAAATCGAAAAGAAATCATTTATGAATACGTGATCATAATAAAAAGGTCATTAAATCGAGAGGCATAGGAAAAAAGAAAGCCAGAAATAGGAAAAAGAACTAACTAATAAGAAAACCAGTTAAAGTGAATACAGCGCCCCTTATAATATTCGGACAAGCATATCTCAAAAAGTAATTTTTTAAAAAATAAAAATTTTGGGAAAATAAATTAGTCAATAATATCTAGAATATGCATATATTTTAAAGTGTTAATTCCTTCCAATTTCAAAAAAAAAATCAACGAGCTTTAAATTTTGAAATATAATGAAAATAAATGCATTCCTCAACAGCACCATTCTTAATATAATCCCCAAATTTAAGCTCTTATCTCTTAATGATTTTTTTAAAATTTGCCGAAATTAGTAGCTAAAACGGCTCGTTAAGTACTATCTTCTGGTGTTATACCAGAAATCAGCACTTAACGAGAAATTTTAGCCGCTAATTTCGGCGAATTTTAAAAAATCATTAACAAGAGATTAAGAGCTTCTTTTTGGAGATTATAATATTGCTGTTGAGAAATGTATCATTTATATTCATTTTGATATTTCAAAATTTAAAGCCCTTTGTTTTTTTTGTAAATTTAAACTTTAATATATATGCATATTCTAGGTATTATTGCCCAATTTGTTTTGCCAAAATTTTAATTTTTTAAAAATCACTCTTTGAGATGTACTTATAAGGGGTGCTGTAATTACCTTAAAGTCCAGGCTAAATAGAGTAAATTGGTAAATGAGTAATACAATAAATGAAATACGACAATAAGGAAAAGTGAAGAAAAAAAAAGACCAAAATTATTGGTGGTACTTTCAACGGAATAATTTCTAACGACATAATGGAATTATATCCATTACTGGATTAAATATATGATCCATGCAATTACTCATTTAATAGATGATGCCTTGGTAGGATTCCTCACTGTTGGGTACTAATTAACAGTGCTGTTCCTAAAGTGGCGCTGGGAAACGGTAACAAAGCCTACACAGAACACGAGGCTAATAACCATAGCAGTTGATGCCGATGACACAAAAAAATAGATATGAATAATGTGGCTGTCAGAATCCGCACCCTGCAGGGGAGGGGGGGGGAAGAAGATGATAAAGTGATAGAAATCGTTTTAAAATATACAAATTTTTAACAAATTAAATTTATTTTGATAACTGCCACCTGACGACATATTAACATGATGTAATTAATCTATGACGTGCCAAAATCTAGTAACTTTTTGTTTCATCCATTTTACATTTAAACAATAAAGAAAGCGAATTTCCGAGACTTTACCATCAAGCATATCCTCTACGATTGCCCGACGCTGTTATTTATTAAAATATTTGTGTTCAGCGAGAATTGGCTAACACCGGCCGATATAAGAGAAACACCTCTTGGCGAAGTTGTCAATTACATTAAATATGTAGGCTGGCTCACGAGCTAGTATGTGCCTATCTAAGGAGGAGGCACAC